GTGATGATGATTAATGAGCTAAGTGAAAAGTGTGGCTGATCTCCTATTTCAAGGTCAGTGATAATAAATAGAGTCTGCACAATGAAGGATCAGGTTGAAGCACATTGATGGACTTTATTATTAGGTTGCTTAGGTGTGGATCTTGAACTGATATTTATAGTAACTCTTGACCTTATATAAATTAATCTGATGTCTGTAAGTTTCAGCTTCCTCATCTGTAACATGAGGTGTGGTAAAGAATGAAGTAACATAAGCTGTAATACTCAGTACAGTGCCTAGTGCAAAATTAGTACTCAGTGAATTAGCATTTATATTTGTTTGTGTCTAAGACAAAGAAGAGAGAATCAGAGAGACATTTAACACACTTTCTGAAGTTGAGGACTATTCCTTTTAGTTACAAAGCAGCAAAAATAATTAACAGGTCTCTTAATGAGTAAAATTGTATCTTTAAATGGGATCCTGCTTTATATCAACATTAATTATAAATGATTTTCTCTGAATTTGAAAATGCCAGAAATAGCCCTCTCAGGAAAAACAAAACAAAAACAAAACCACTGAAAGATGTAATAACTTTAGGAATGATTGTTAACTCAGGTAGCAAAGTTATGGACTGAATTTGTAAAGCTAACTTCTCTGACTCCTTTTCTTCATGTATAGTTCTAGAAAAAGTGAATATAATCTGTTATTGATATATATGGCAAAAAAGAATGTTTTGTAAAGAGAATGCTTTTGAGTAAGTCAAGAACATGTTAAACAAAGTTGCATAGGAAGTCAGTGGCAGAACATTGGGTTTTTTGTTTTTTGGTTTTTTTTTGCCCATGAGAAAGCAAACTCTAGTAATGGCTACTCTGTCTTCTTCAATTCAGCTTCAGTCCTTTAAGATGGTGAACAGTTTGTCTATCCGAATAAGACAGTAGGTAGGAGGAAAGGAGCCATAAAGACGGCCCTAGCTGAATTCTGAGGAGTGATAAAAGTGACAAAGTAACATGATAGAAGTGACAAAGCACTGATAATATGGTGAAACATCACACACACATACACACACACGTATGTACATGCACAATTGAGTAGAGAAACAACAAACCTAAGTTATCATACACAATTAGGAGTATAGTAGGATCTTTCCTATTTGCATCTCTTTGGTCCAGGACTGAGAATCAGCAATATTTGAAAATCCCATTAATAAGTGTTCATTGAATGACCTGTGTGCTTCTAAATACTTGCTCCTTTAGCCTCCTTTCATTTTTATTGGACACTGTGGTGTTATTTTTGGTATTCACCAAGGGTGGGGTGAATCATTGTGAGGCAGGCTTTGAGCAAAGCTGACAGTTATGCTGTAGTAACTGGGTGGGGAGACAAGGTGAAATTCCAGACCCTCAGTATATTAATAAGCTGTCTTCTATACCATTAACAATTTTTATACTAACTTCTACCATTTAAAAAATAATGTAACATTTTAAGCTATTATTACTGTATATTATAAAATATTACTGTACATTACACTTCAAGTTTTTCATTACAATTCTTAGAGATAAAGCATTAGAAAATGTAATTTATTCAATATTATAACACCATTTCCAACAGCTATATAAAATACACAGCACTGTATAAACTATTTTAAATTATAATGTGTTTTATAGTTTATTAAGCCAAATTAGCTGCTTTATTTTTTCTATAAGAAAGACCAGAGTCTTTCTGGTATAGTTATAAAATATAAAAAAGCCAAGAACTGCTTTGTTCTGTTTCTTCTAATTTTTCATTGAGACATGGACAAAGTGGTTAAAAATTCATATTTTAATGTAAGATTGAACTGAATTGAGCCTCATCTTTGCCACTTAACTTTCTGTCTGTTCTTAGTCAACTTACTTAGCATTTTCTATTCCCATTTTTTCTCTTTGGTTCTTTTATTTATAAGAGGATATAAATGATAAAACTCTAATATCCAAATTTCACAGGTCTGAGTTTGCTTGTACACATAACAATGTGAACTCCAGAATAATAACTACCATTTTGTGAGTATTTATTAACTGAAACCACTATAGCAACCACTGTATAGAATGTAAAATGCATCTTTACAATTCTGTAGGGCTGTCATAATTATCCCTTTTTTCCAGAGTTTTGGACCAAGAAGCTCAGATATCATTCATTACTGATACTGACTGCTGTAGATTAAGCTAAAAAGCAAAGTGTTTGCTTAATTGTCTAAATTACACCTTTAGAAATTCCTCTATATTGACCAAATAAGAGAAGATGAGAGTCATTTTAAAATGAGTATTAAAATATACTCAGAGTCAAGTTTAGGGTAGCCTTACATATAGGGGGTTTCGGAGCAGTATATCTTGTAAATACAATTCATGAGCAAGGATCAACAGAAATCCTTCAACTTTTGTTTAAGGGAAGTGTCCCTAGAAATGAGGGGGGAGCAAAAAATTCTTAGAAAAGAATTCCTTAAAACACAAACCTGGGATAAATGAGATAAAAGCATTCTTTTAAAATTCTCCTGACAGTGTCCAAATCCTTGATGCCATAAAACCCAAATACTGTGTAAAATTCCACCAGAATTATATTTTCTTTCTGTAAGGTTATATGGAATGGCATATGTCTAAAGTCATGAATTTCATTGCCTTAAGAAATCCTTTCTAGATGAATAGCAGCACTGTCCCTAACCACAAGTTTGGAGTAATAACTTCAGTGACTTGGCAAAACTTAAAAGAATAATGCAATGCAGTTTAAGAATAACTGATTATTTTCTCTTAAAAAAAAAAAAAACTACTTGTCTCACAACAAAATAGTTTCTCTTTTGTCCTTTTCCACTCCCTAGCAAATAAATTAGAGCTCTACCTTTGATAAAGAGAGGTTAAATGAAAGGAAGAACAGATAAGAAATGACTAAGTTTAAGTGGATGGGTCTACCAAAGCAAAATGTGGCCAGGTAGAACACAATTAGGAAGGGAAAGATGCTATTGGCATTATTCCAAAGCCTAAATTTTTAAATTCAAGCTCTAGTTACCTTCTATAATCTTTACGTTTTGAGACTACTTTTAAGAGACTAAACCAACCGAATTGAACATGTTTTATGCAATAATAAGTTGCTTCTCAAGACTTTAAATAAATCTGGTAGGGTAATTCAGATTAACTAAACTATTTAAATTTTACTCATGGGACCCACACAAATTTCACTATAATTTATATGCTTCTAATATTGCAGTTCCCAAATTGCATGTGGTGCCTTTTAGCACCACAGTCTATTCATCAGGAAGTTCAATTTTTAAATATTTCAATTTTTTTAAAGATTTATTTATTTATGCATGCAAGAATGGGGGTACAGGCCAGAGGTGTAGGGGGTGAGAGGATTTACCAGAGACAGAGTGGGGAGCAGAACAAATGGATCTACTAAAATACAGTGCTAAGGGGAGCAGTGGGCGAGACAGGCGAGGTCTGGTGCACCATGTGGGTCACCAACCTGGCTCGGGATAGAACTCCTGCTGCAGTGGCTGCAGATTGCTACATGTTGCTGAGATTAACCCCTTGTGCCACTAGGGAGGCCCCTATTTTTAATTTTCAAGGGAAACACAGCCATCCGTGGCATGTCAGGAACCCATGACTTATCGGATAGAGGCAGTCCACAGTTTAAGATTACTTTTAGTTCTTTTACTTTAAATGACATCATACCTTTTTTCAAAGATCAGCCACTTGAAAATCAGTTTGGAATAGGAAATGAGGGAGGTGATACCCAATTTGATTTCAAGGCTTGGGAAGTTCCATTAGTAAGTTATTTACTAAGAATCATACTAATCGTGTGTGTGTGTGTACGTGCACGCACACTATTTTTTTTTTTTTAACTGGCTAATAGTTTTTTGGACCTAACTACTTACTAAACAAAACTGTCAGGGTTTTTTTTTTTTTTGTGTGTGTGTATGTTTTGTTTTTTTTTGTCTTATGGCACCAGGGACTGAGACACTAGAGTGGAAAGATTTGAAAAAGTTTGGAAGTTTCTGCTATAATATTTGTATGACTGTAAAAATAGGTCTCAATATCATAAATAAATGATGCTTTGTGTAGTTGATAGTCTACATGTAGAAATAGCTAATATGTGGTTTTAGGAGATGTACTTAAACATGATTCATAGCTTAAGTTAATCCTCAGGAAAGAATCTCTGTATTCACTGATTTAAAAAGAGAAGCTCTACATAGAGACAAGCATCAGAGGGAAGGAGTGAGGTGCAGAATATTGAAAGCAGGACTTGTTTTACTTCTTTTTTAACCCACTCTAGTTTTTATTTATATTCAGCCTAAATCTGTGAAGATTCCTCAGGTTCAGTACATTTTTGTCACTAATAGTATAAGACATGTTTATTTGTATATAGCAACAGCGTGTTTTTTTTTTTCCTTTTTAGGTTTTTCACAGTTGCATAAAATAAACTTTTATCATAAGTAAAGCAGTGCTTTGTAGCACATCAGAGAATCAACAATTAAAAATTTGTTGTCAAAGTACTTTAGCCTTATATATATATTTTTATTTTAAAGAGGCATGTGTTTTTTTATTTATTTATTCGTTTGTTTGTTTATACATGCACTGGGTACAGTCAGAAGTGCAGGAGGGTGAGAGAATTCACCAGAGCCAGAGCGGGGAGCAGAGCAGGCAGAAAGACCGAAGTACACTGCTGAGGGGAGCAGCGGGCGGCAGGAGAAGTCTGCACACCATGTGGGACCCTCATCCGGTGGCCGGGGAGCAGCCGGGGATCGAACCGGCGCCTCAGAGGCTGCGGGCAGCTTCGCAAACCAGCGCTCAACCGCTGCGCCACTAGGGAGGCCCTAGCCTTATATTTTTGGATCAGCATTTGTAGACTGCACTATTCCTAAGTTTTTTTCATAGCTTAACCTGGCTCTCTATAAAGTTAAATTAAGTAACTTCTTGATACAACAGTAGATGAACTGCTACTTTAAACTCATACCTGAACCAAGAGAAACCTTACTATTTCAAGGCGATTGTCTACGTTACCATGCTTGTTGATCTGACATAGACGTTGTTTTTCAGATGACAGTTTCCATCATTTGGTACCACTATGCCTGCCAATTTGCTATCAAGAGCAAGATGAGATGTCTGATCTGTCATCACCAGCAGCAGTCTTTTAGCTTCTTTTCGCCATCCAATGTGACTCTGAAAATAAATATATAGTTAGACCTTGTACAATCACATAGATCTGGGGTGTGGTCTTTTCTCAAGTATAAACATTTACTTGAATCAAAAATTAAGGCAGCCTGGAATGATGTGCATAAATACAATACTATTATATAAACAGTACTAAATTTCATTTATGTATCTTCTGTTTTACTACAGCCATTTGACCATACTACTCATGGCTAGAGATTTCTAATGGAAAGACAAGCCAGTTTCACAAAGTGCACAGTACCCACTGCAACATAAGACAATTGTTGGTTCTTCTTTGGAGAGTGGTGAGTGAAAATAACATGGTGGAGGATTGTGGGTGTTTTGCTAGTGGATGTGGTGATATACATCGGAAGAGGTGTGAACCTATACCCCTAAATCATATGCAGTATTGTAAAACAATGCTACTTCAATTAAAAATAATATAATTAAAAAAAAAAAGTAGCCCCTTTGGGAAGAACTTTCCAAGTGCGTAAGTTATCCTTTCTCTTTTATTTATTTATAACCTCTTCTAATTTAGCCCATTTGTCCTAATGCACCTCAAAATGAATGAGAGTGATGAATGAGAGATAGAAGAAAAGTATTCTTTTATGCCATTATTACTCCATAAATCAAAGAGAAAATGAAAATTCTTAACTCTTGGGAAATTTGCATCTGAACAAGCACAGAATAATGTGAAATTTCTTACCTCACAGACAGCTGCCTGAAGCATAGCATCAAAACCTCCTTCAGGTGTATCTATATTTCCAGAAATCTTCTGTCTGTGAACAGCTTTTTCAAATTCAGTTATGTTCTCCGTCAAAGAGAGCACATGGATGTATCCATGGGGAGGCATACAATCTAAATTGTAGTCACTATATGGAGAGAAAAATGCAAATCTATTTTGCTTTCTATCCTATTTCCTTTAAAACTCTAAAGTACTTGTCATGGTAAAGTAGTGTGTTTGACGTGTGAAGAGAATATTTTTTTTTTCTTGGCCAAGGAAATTTTATTAGAGGAAAAGCTATACTTTACACTGTTGAATATTATTTTGGAAATGGAATATGGTGGTTTGGTATTCAAAAAGTAAGAAAGACTAAACATGTTGGATACTAATGTTTGATACTCTATTATGCTATTGTATGCTGAGAATGTCTAAGAGGAGGTAAGAATTTGAAGTGATTTCCAATTACAGCTGACCATGGGAAAGCTAAACACTTTTTGGGAGATGTTTTTGGGAACTTGGTTGAAATATAATGGCCAGAAATGTTTAATGTACTGATGTTTTAAGTGAATCTGGTGTGGAATTATTGATGAACAATCAAAATTCATTAAAATTGTTTTGAAAATTCTATGATATCCCAGAACGTGAGAGTCATTCTTTAGGTGCATGAAACGTCAGGAGTTATGTGCATCCTCTTCCATTACAAAATATAGCTGAGTTGCTTTGGTCAATTAGTGTGTGTACTGCAAAATAATCTAGGCAATTTATGGAAGTAGAAAAGAAGATGTTAAAATAAAATATTTTATAAAGGAGAAACTGAACACATTAATTTCTTCCTGAAGATTCAACAAGTTAATTTAATATTGTATGAGGAATTTGTAAGGTCAGTTCTCCTTTCATACTGAGGCAAGTGCTATTTAGAACCAGATTTCCAAAATGGCATGGAAAAGGGCTCTTCTTAGCAAGTGGTTTCTCATCTTTTGACCTTATAGCAGAACTTTTTTTGAAGTTACCTCATAAGCAACATTATTGTAAAAAAATTCACAGTACATCAATCAAAAGATAGATGCAGTACTTGTATTATAAGTACTGTAAGATTTGACAATCTTAATTGCAGAAATTTGGAACAATCAGAAGGGAGAAATATAAAAATTTCCTAAAAAGTATTTATATATTACAGCCAGATTATTGGAGATTTATCATAAATTACTAATATTATTTGTGGTTTTGTGATAAGAACTAAGGGAACTGTGTTTGATGAAATACAAGATTAAAAGGTCTAAGCTACAGATAATCTCAGAAGTTTTCAGATACCTCCTCTCCAAACATTTTTATTTTTCATTTACTAAGACAACAATTTAAAAATTTAGTAAGTCATATATAAAAACAGTGATTTTTTTTAATTAAAAAAATTTCATTTGGAGTTGTGAAATCCACATCAAACACTAGATACCTGCATTGATTATGAATCCTTTCTGGGTGGATGCTAATATATGGTGAGACTGTTTTATCAACATATGAGCCAAATCCAAGACGGAAGTCATGGGAGAAAAATGCCATTTTTCTAGATAAATCATTTCCAACAGAATTTAATTTTTCAATATTATTGTGCATTGATGCTGAGACATCAACCAGATAATAAAGATCCACAGGATATTTCTTCAGAGGATGAATTTTTAGCATGAAATTAGTTTCAGCTCCTAGTTCAAAGAGAGACAAACATGTCGTATTTGTTTTAAACATTGTAGGATAAGCTGTCAATAAATCATTCACATTTTAGATATAGAACAGTTATCACAAATTTGTGCATAATGAATGAAGTCAGGAATATTCTGGAATGATTATAATGTAATTAAAAAACCTTAGCAATTTGTTAGTCCCCAACTTTTACAATGTAATTCCCACAATTCTCTGAGGCAGACAGAGATAATAACAAATGGACCAGCTCACTGTAAATAGGGGATATATTTATCACCAAATTGTGGGGTCAGTCTCCCTAAAAGAATCCTGTAGACTTTTCTCAGTAGGCCCGGAGTAGGCCATTTGTCACCTTGATATGACATTTAGAGCTTAATCATAGTTCTCCGAGCTTCAGAAAGCTGCTTAAAGAATGAATATTGTTTTGGGTTGAAAGCATTGATGATGCTGAAGGTTAGGAGCAGCTCCGGCTCTTGCCAAAATTCTTAACCTAAATTCTGTCCTACGTTTCTGTCCTTTTCCTAACTGAAAAAATAATCACTGTTCTCCCTTTTATGACCCAGAAGACTGTAGCTTGGGGGGTCTCACTCATTTCTAGGTTTACCAGTTAACATGTTCTATGAATCTCATCTTTGCTCTCAGAGTAAGGATAAGGTTATCTCCTCCTTTTCTGTCATGTGAAGTTTCCCCTTTTGTGTTAGTGATGCCGTAGGTCCTAAAATGCAGGCTAAATATTCTTGGTCTATTCCATTATCCTTTAGAATTTACAACCATGTAGTTTCTCCATATAAATGTCATTAAACTCATTGTTTTTCTTTGCTAACCCATTTAATGCTGTTTTAATTACTCATCCAACCTGAGAAGCTTTCAGAAGAGTATGGGATGATTTATTTGCACCCCAACAGCATAAACGTTTATTTTTCTTAGAATCTAGAAAAGCACGACACAAAAAAGTAAGCAGCATTCTGTCTCAAGGGAATAGGTGATAAGTGGCTAACTGTGGCTTTCTAATTTGAAGAAAAGCTGAAGTTATCTTGTTAGCTTATCTGTTGTATGTAGGTGTAAGTTTATTCTTTTGTGTTAAGGCACATTTACTTATGAGATGTGAAAAATTTGGTCCTTAGTAGTATATGAAGCTATTTAAAATAATTAGTACCTCATAATGAATTAGTTGATAAGATTCTACCTAACACTTATCATGAGAAGGAATGAGACAGTAATGTAAGAAATGGTCCCCAGCTGTGCCAGACTGAGGACCTAGGCTGGGTACGGGACAGCATTTGTCCAGAGCACAGTGGGTGCTCAAGCAATACCTGTTCAAGACGGGTCACAGAAGCAAAGGAACTGGATGAGAAGAGAAGGTCATCAATAGGAGATATGTGGGAGCCTCCTCAGGACAACTGGGATACAGTTTTATATACTTCTCTGTCCATTATGATTTGATAAGGACTTGTGTCCCTGTATAAGAGGATCATCACCCTATAGAGTTGGTATCTCATAGTTAATTTTCTTAAGTATGTGATGAAAAGTGGTGCGGCAGACCTCTCCTGTCGCGCCCGCTGTTCCCCTCAGCAGTGCTTTAGGTTCGCCTGCCTGTTCTGTTCCCCACTCTGTCTCTGGTGAATCCTCTCACCCTCCTGCGCCTCTGGCCTGTACCCCAGCTATTGTGTAAATAAAAAATAAATCTTAAAAAAAAAGTATGTGATGAAAAGTTATCAATTCAAATACAGGAAATTTATGAATTTTACTTTTATAAACAATAAAGCAAATGCTTTGTAAGTCATTAATTATTTGTGGAGAATATTTGGAGTGAATTTTTGTCAAATCATATTTTCTATCTTAATATACTTAAAATTAGCAATATTTTCTTTTGAATTATTTCACAAATCAGATTTTTTTTTAGCTAGAGCACTGAATGTCTTCGAAATAGTAAAATTTCCTAGTAAATAAAAATAATGGGAGTAGGAAGCTATATACTCTTTCCTAATTTACTTTTATATGCAGGAAATATAATATATTTATAGCCCTTTGCTGTAATACTGCTAGTTAATTTTTTAGTGTAGTCTGGCACCATCAATTCTTTTACACCTTCCCTTCAGGAGGTGGGCTACCTCCAGAGAATATGTATTCCTCTGCTTTTTGACTATATGTTGGAAAAAAACCTGTTCTTGTGGAAGTGTCCTGTAATTTGGGTGAGGAAGTTGAGTCCAGAGTGCTAACCATTACACCATGGGGCCTACAATTTGGGTACATAAGTTCAATTCAAGAGAATATTAGCATCTAGTAGATAGGCCCAGATTGTTGAGAAATAGAAATAGAGCATAACTGGGGAGTGTGGTTCATGTGGAAAAGCTTATGTAAGTCAGTATATCAAAATCTTTTGGTACAGATATATAGTTTTGAAATTTTTTTTCTTATTTTACCTACTGACTTGGGCAGTTGGCTAAGGGCATTAGGCAGTGTCCATGTGGTATTTTTGTTTTAATTGATCATTGTATTTTTTTTTTATTGTGTTATTTATTTATTTGTTTGTTTGTTTGTTTTTTGTTTATACAAGCACTGGGTACAGTCAGAAGCGCGGGAGGGTGAGAGAATTCACCAGAGCCAGAGCGGGGAGCAGAGCAGGCAGAAGGACCGAAGTACACTGCTGAGGGGAGCAGTGGGCAGCAGGAGAGGTCTGCGCGCCATGTGGGACCCTCCTCGGGTGGCCAGGGAGCAGCCGGGGATCAAACCGGCGCCGCAGAGGCTCCGGGCAGCTTCGCAACCCAGCGCTCAACCACTGCGCCACCAGGGAGGCCCAGATCATTGTATTTTTATGGTGAATGTCCAATATGAATGAATGTCTTCATAGTCATTGCAAAATATATCAGATATTCACCTGGTTTTCCTGGACTTAGCAAAAAAGAGGGCAGTAAGAAACTTTGTCAAATGCTCAGGGCTGGAGATATAGGCTGCTGTAGCTTGGGTTACATAAATGCTGGTATTAACACATGCATCTGGTTCTGTTGAAGACTTCAGAATGCCTGAGGTCTCAGTAAGAACAGCAGTGACTACATTGAAACTGCATTGCCTCTGTGGATCTAGCTTTAGGTAGTCAGTTTAAGGTTGGCTGAACCCAAGCCCCACTCTGCTTGATAAAGAACAAGGTGCCAAGTGTGAAATTACCATGTTTTGATCCAAGTTTGAGATACTCCGCACAATATACTCTCAAGTTGGCTTTGAGTTGAGTAGTTATATATGAGGGAGAAATCTTCTTTTAGAACCCGAATTACCTTTTCATGGATATGCTGTCTCTAGATAAATCCCCACTCAGTTCATAATGGGATGCAACCAGCCCAGGGCTCAAAGATGTTAATGAAGAGGTTTTGAATATATTGGATGAGGAGAAACACATCTAAAATAAGACTTAACATCTGTGACCATCACCATTGTGATGCAGGCAGCAGTGAAGTGCTATTCTGAGAGATAAGTGGGGGTGTGTAGATACTTTTAGTGACTAAGAGCTGCTAAATGAGATAAAGATAATAAATGTAAGGTATTTACCATAGTATTTGGTCCGTGTGTGCACATGTGCACACACGTGTGCATGTGTGCGCACGCACACACACGCAGGTAATCATTATTATTACTATTACTATTACTAAATTGTAAGCAATATTAGGGTGAAAACTTACTCATCTCTGAAGCCTCTGGGTTTGGTACATGCACGCCCACTCAAGTTTTTTTAACTTAACTGTATTTGAAGCACATTTTGATACGGCATTTCAAAAGGCCCACATATTCATCACAGTAAGGAACTAATACCTATGGCTTCTTTTCCATAGTGCAGGGAGAGATTACTTTCCATCTTTAAGAGGAAAAGAATATTATGTGGTCCTCAATATTTATGCCACAACTTACATTATCACTAGAAAAGTTTCAGCCTCACACTTTGAGATTCCAAAGGCTCAAATCCTTATTCCTTCAATTAACTTTAAAAAGAAGAAGAGAGTTAGTGACATAGAATAAAAAAAGAGGTGTTGGAAGAAAATTGAGACCTACCTAGGGCAATTGCCAGTACAATTTGAATAGCTCAAACAAGTAAAAGTTGTTAGGATGAGTTTATATAACTTAGCTAATGGTGCAAACATCTTTGAAAGTAGTACTTGCTGCACCAAATATGACTGAACATTAGGAACAGGTAACTAAAAACATTCTGTGTAAGATTAAGCTGAAAAATAACAGTAGAATGTTGAAACCTGTAGGAGAAGGTAAGGTAGCCAGTTTCTATCCATTATAGTTGAGCTGGGAAAAGAGAAGGCCCCTGGTTTGAGATTGGTTTGAAATAAGACCCAGAATATTTCTAATTTCTTTGAGATATAAAAAGAGGTCTATGTGTCAGGGATGGATGGGCGAGAAAATGTACTATTTCTCATTTTTTATGTTTTGTGAAAAAAATTCTGAATTTAGGAAGAATACCTGACAAATAGTACATTTTAAATAATATTAAATAAATAAAAATATTCATTACAGTATTAAAATGCTTCAAGTTTAATACTTTTTTTGAATTGGTGAATTAGAGAAAGATTACACTAATCCTGATATAAGTTTTTTATTTCTGAAGCAAAATTTGTGAATTTCCTTCTGTCATCTATCTTCTTAAAGATTTCATTTTAGTGTTTTAGATATTGTAAACTAAGTTCAGGAGTCTGTTTCTGTTAATATTTTTCCATAAGAGGTTAAAATAAGAAAATAAGTGTCAGAAGTAAGAAAGAAATGTTTTATGTCTTATTTTAAATATTTGATTATACATTATATGTACATTTATAGTTTTACTAACACTCTTTAAAAATTTACTTAATATATGCCTTAATAGAAATAGTCATGAAATATTAAAAATATTAATGCATGCTATGTTGAAAGTTATAAATTTTTATCACATAAAAATAAAGTGATAATTATAAAAAAGCACAATCAATATTAGGACATAAGTGCATTTTACACTAAAGTATGTATTATATCA